CCGGTTGCTTGTTGAGCTGACGGACGGGGACTGCACGCTGCAGTCGACCCTCGCCACGCGGCCGGTGCAGGAGCGATTGCTGGACCTCCGCTTCGGAGAGACGAGTGTGGCGAATCAAATGGTGCTGCTCGGCGATGTGGCGCGCGATGCCATTGAGGACCTGGTCGCGGCACAGTGCCCCCACGCGGTCGTTGTGCTGGACCCTCGCAGCGGCGTGACGCTCCGCGGCGAGGGCGGCCCGTACGGCGCGGTGACGGTGCAGTTGCAACGTTCCTCGGAGGCGATCCTGTCGGCGCTCGACGAGGGCACGCACGCGCACACCCGTGTCCTCCGGTCGCATCTTGCGCTTGCGTGCGGGGTGCGCCCCGGCGGCAAGTTGTGGCGCGCGTCCGGGGCGGTGGCGGACGTCGCGCCGGGGATGCAAGGAACTTCGGGCGGCGCCGCACAACCGACATTTGGTGGATTTGAGCGGCTTCTGTTCCAGGTGAACGAGGCACGCCAGCTCAGTGTGGTGCACATGCCGCGGGATCATGACGTTCCAGTGACCGTGACTGTTACTGTGTCCCCTGCTCACGGCCTGTACGACGAGTGAGGAGCACCTTTTTGTTGGGGGTGTTTTCTTAGCCTTTGGTTTCTGTGTGCGTGTGTCCTTGTTTCTGGCTGTCGCTGATGCCGCGTTCTTGGTGCGTGAAAAGATGAGAGGTGTTTCGGGCCTTGCCTCGCCCACAGAGCATACAAGTGTCCCACCACCATCAACTGTGAGGGACGCGTGTCATCCGCTTCCCTCGCTGAGTGTGAGGTTTGCCATGTTTATTGTTGTGTATTGTGCGGCGTGCCCTGTCCTCTCCTTTTTTTGTCTTTTGCCGTGAGGGAAAAGGAGCTGCGTGCTAACATTAAGTTTTCAACAAGTGTCACTCGACATCCGCATTCCTTCCGCATGTGCCAGAAGAGGGTTGCTGAGACGCGTGGCTCGTCCACGCCGCCGTCTCTTGTCATTTGTTGGTGCGTCCTGCTTGTTGCTGTGCTATGTGCGCCGATGTGTGCCGTGGCGTACAACGTGCGCTACACCGCCTTCAAATCACCCAGCCCCGTGAGCGCACGGTTTAGCGGCTACTGTCCCTGGCATGGTGGCGGCCACACCATGATGCCGATGAAGAAAAGCTTTCAGGAGCTGGCAAAAAGTACCATCAAGGACGCCGCATTTAAAGAGGCTCCCATTGGTGGGTGGTGTCCGTACTCCTCGTGCACGACCCAAAAATGCGAGTGGGTTTTTTTCACCGGCCTGATGAACGGGACAGCAGTTGAAAAGGCGACATTCTTCAAGGGGACCGTGTATAATGGCTTGAAATACACGGAATCCATACCTGGTATGTACAACAACTTCTCGGATGGATTTCAGCCGGTAAGTTTTTTTCAAGCGAGCGGGCGGACTATTACGAAAATGGTGTCAGATGGCCATTGGGAGAACGAGATCCGTGATCACGGGTACACCACGTGGTTGTGCGAGTTCTATGAGTTCACACCCTCGGAGGTGGTTACAGCGCCTGCGACCGACGAGAATGGCTTTGTTATTCCTTCTAAGAAGCTCAGTCCGTTACCATGGTGGGTGGGCCTAGTCATTGGTCTTTCGGTGCTGCTCATTGCGGTTGTTGCAATCATTATATACTGCTGCTGCCGCAGGCGTCGTGAAAAGGAGAAACTGGAGGTGCTCAATGAGGGAATGCAGAGGGGACAAAGCATCCGTCGGGTCGCGACGCAGTCACAACTGGCCATGAGCCGCCGCGGCAGTATCATGTACGGAGACGCTGACGGCAGTGGTTTTTTTGGCATGCAAGGACAGGAGGGACAAGGAACTATGGGGATGGGCCGTCACAGCAGCGCATACTTTGAAAATGGCTATCCAGGCAATGCAATGGGCCCCAATGGCGGCTTTTATTCCGACCAATCCTTGCAACAGGAGGGATACAATCCGTATGCTGGCCCTCCCCCCTATAACAATTACTAACAGTAAAAACAAATCTTTTCTTGGGTTCCCTCTGCATTGTTCTTTTTACTTTTGATTTCCTTTGTTAGAATGTGCATACGACGTGTTAACCCGTCACAAATTTGGGGAGTTGAGTTTTCCCGTGACGTGGGGGTCGAAGAACTGTTTTCCACGGTTGTTCTTTCTTTTCTCTTCTGTAGCGCCCTCTTCCATATTTCCTCTTTCCGTGAGGCCGCGTGTGAGATGGAACCGAAATGAAAGGAGGGAGCGCGTGGGGAGCGAAGGGGACAATTGTTCTCAACAAACAGCGAGCCCGGTATTATCACCGTTTTATTGTGCGGGTGGTGGGGGAGGCGGGATGTAATGTGAGCGTCCGCCCCCACAAAGGAAGGGAGCGCAAACATATCATGAATAAAATGTATTAGTGAATGAAGGGAGCATCTCCCCCACCACGCCCTTTTTTTCGCATCACACCCTCCCTACCCTCTCTGTCCTTTTCCGTCGCATGAGAATTGTGTTTGCGTCAGAAGTGAACTGTACGCCCACCACGGTGTGCTAGTACGGTGCATTGATGGCATATGTAATGCAGAGAGCTCTTATAACTACCGCAGTATTGGATGTTATTTTTCCGCCAGTAATTGCCGCTTTTTCCGTTTTTATCCTTTTCACGGCATGCCTCTGAGACCTTCAATGATATCACACAAAGCGTGGTTTACAGAGAATGTGAAAACGATGCAAACGACAGGCGAATAGGAATAATGATTTGATTTGTATTTTTTTTTACTTTGTTTGGTTTTTTATTTTAAATTTTTGGTTATTTATTTTATGTGATTTACGTACTGTGTTTCATTGTAAGTGTTTTGTCTTTCCCATGTGATTACCTACTTTCGCGCGTGTCTTTCTTTGTGTATGGGCCTGAGCGGGCGTCCAAGTGGCCGTGCGGGAGAGTGGGCAAGAAGTGCGACTTCCCTTACAGACCTACGTGCATTTCCATTGCCTGCAGCGCACGCTCCTTTTTCTTTCCTTTTTTATTTCTTGCCGTGGCCGTATGTAGGTGTTTTGTTTTGGGTGGCAGCGGGTTCCGCTTCTGCGAGAGGAGGAGCGCCGGCAGACACGGTGGGACATGTCTTGTTAGACACCGGACGGGTGGCGGTGCCTCCGTGCGTGCGGAGCGGGCAGCGGCTGACCGCGGATGGTCGCAGCGCATGGCTTTACTGCGACTGGGACGCAGCCACAACAACGGCAGCAGCGGCAGGGGCGGCGTGGCCATTTGCGCGACTGTCAGGTTGAGGACGGCCTTGAGGCGGGAGGAGCTGGTGGGGCGCGGAGGTTCGCGTGGTGGGAGGCTTTGCCGCAACAGCAGGGGAGGGTGGAATTGACGGCGAGGACGGGGAATTGTGGGAAACGCTGTTGGTGCTGTGGTTCTTTTCGCCGTTGGTTTGTGGATGCCGTGCCGTGTGACCCGGGGGGAGGAGAGCGCACGATCGCGACAGACGTGGGTGTGTTGTGACGGGCGACCGCTTCCGACTTCCCCGTGCTGTGCCTGTTGGGTGGGTTTTGCCCCGGTTGCGTCTTCACTCGCCGTTATTCCTTCTGTGTTGGCTGGTTTGGATTTGCCTGCTAAGGGTGTCTTTGTGCGACTGTCGTGATGCTCTCACTGCCTGCTCTCTGCACCCCACCCCCTTTTTGTTTCCGCCCTCGTTTCTTGTAGGTATCGCCCCTGCCTCCCTTTGCCCGCCGCCGTGCGGGCTGGCCTTGCAGCTGCGCAGTGATTAGAGACTGGATGTACTTGTCCTCCACCGACGTGTGCAGCGTGCACGCAAACTGATGCAGAAGAGCATCCGCATGATCGGCGCTTCCTCGCTCCCACCCCTCCCCCTCTTCTCTGCGGCTGCTCCCGAAAGGGCCTGTTGAGTGGGATGCCACGCTTTGACGCTCGCGGGACCGTCCCAATTGGAGTGCCCGAGAGCCAATGCTGTATCGCGCCTCACTGTTGGCTGCGGCATTTGTGAGTATGTGTGCGTGTGTGGATCTTGTATTTGTTTGTTGTTGTTGTTGTTGTTTGAGCGGTGGTTGATATGTTACAGTTTTTTTGTGCGTGTGTTTGGTTTGTTAGGAGCTTTTAAAGAGAATGTTCGCATGACAAGCGCGCTGTTTAATATATATATATATTGACGAATGGAACTCTGTACGACCTTTTTCATTTACTTTGTGATTCTTTGGTTGACCGCGATTCTAGGAATCAGGGAAATAATAACGCCGATATGAGTTTACTTATTTTACTTTTATTTTTACAGCCCAACCTGATACCTGCAAGCTCATGTAAAGAAATGGCGGTGGTTCCTTTTACACGGCAACGGAATGGAGCCTTATCGGTAATCGTATGGCAGATCTGTTACGTCAGCATGGCGATACACAGGTGCAACTCACCTACATGGATGAAAAGGGACAGTTTGAATCTATGGTCACTGTCAGTGGTACCATAAGTGGCTTACAATTGATTTCAGGAAACACTGACAAGCTCTGGGAGGATTCAACCCTTACGGGGTACGTTGCGGATCTCCGGGCGTGTCAAGTAACAAACTTCGAGTTTCAATCGCTCTTGCCCATCATTTGAAGACAGCCCGTGAGTTGGGGGTTTAACAAGGGCTGATCATTGCGGAAAGGCATAGATAAAACTCGGACTATGCCCACGCCGTCGCGGAAGTGTGGAATCGGAATGCTTAGCTTTAATTTCAGCTGCACGGAAAGGATAAATACTTCTCAGTGCGTGCATCCAACACTGCGGTGGCGGACGGTTTTATTGCGCAACGAGAATCGGCGCTTGCAGGGCGCGAACGCCATTTGGAGACAACCCCTGCCCAACCCCAGGAACGAAGGGCACGTATCGGTGCATTGGAAGCGCGGCTTGCAGCTTGGGGTGCCGATATACCCGGACGGCGAGAAGTTCCCTCTTCCAGGAAAGGGCCGCCAGATGCACTCGCGCACGGGTCCAAGGATGGCGCATCGACACCACCCCACCACGAGCGTTTGGTGGCCGGGGGCGCGGCTGCACCCACAATTCCCCAACCCGTTTTCACGGGAGGGCGACGGCGGGTCAATACTCTTGCGTCATTGGGCATTGTGGGCGACCGCGTTTCCCTCACCCCGTGACTTCGCCCTTTCGATCTCCGGATTCAGAAGAGGTTTCCGGTTCAAATGAAGAGAATCCGGGTTTTAATTGAACTTGTCGTCAACACTTGGGTCCTGCAAATTTGGAATGAAGGCATCCTTGGAATTCTATTCGAAATCCGGAGCGCATGCGATTAGTGGCACCGAGGGGACGCTCACGCCCGAATCGCCTTTGGCATTTCTGGTTTTGTGGATGCGCGCGTTGCAGTTGCATCGGGAGCCCAAGAAGCAGTTTATGGACTTGGGCGGGATTATACCGCGGGTCTTCCGGATGCAGATCGTGATTAAATTCGACCCCAGCATCCCGATCCAAAAATTGCGTGCCCGCCTTCACACGGCTTTTCATGAGGATGACACCTTCGCGAGGGTGGCTCAGCCTTTCATGGATCGACGGGGAACTCGATCGCAACAACAACGATCGCTGCTATGCCAACTGTGCCTTATTTATGGACACGACGCGTCTACTTGCAAAGTGCGCCCCAAAAGGGTTTTCCCAAACTACAAACGAAAGCTAAAAAACGGCAGAAGAGCTGCCGCACGCCGCTCATTAATGCTGGCGACGGCAGTCACACCCAATCCACCACCTCCCGCTATTCCACACAGGCATCGCACCGCACCGCTGACGCTTCATCCGATCGTTCAAACTGCCGACGGAATTGACAAGAAGGGCGGAAGAGATGGCTTGAGAAATGTGGGTGACGTCAAATTGGGAGCGGAGAATGCCCCTGGCGGGGCAATTCACAACCTTTTGCCGCACGCACGAACAGCCGATGAACGAGGCGAGCTGCGCGGCCTTTTTGATGGCAATATTAGATGTGGCGCCATTGACCCGACGGCAGTACGCCAGGATGCTGCGGTTCATTTTACAAATGGATCGAACCTCACTGGAAATGGTGGTTTTGGGGTTACAAAAGATTGCGGCGCGATCGGAGACGAAGCAAGCGCGCCCCTTGACAAAGGAAGAGATGAATCAAGTAATCCGCAGCCGAACCGATTGGAAGGAACGTGTCGTCTTACGACTCGCGTTGATAGCGGCGAGTCGTTGGTTTGAGATTGCGGCCTTAATCCCCAACAATTTCACAATGGAGCGTGACGGAGCCTTAATTTTGGACTGGTCCCGTGGCACCAAAGACGGCGAAAGCGGATCCCCACCGCGCCTCGCGGTTCGTGAGGATACGAGGGCAGGACGCCCTCGACACTATAAAGTTATGCAGGACAATTCAACACAACGAAAAGCTCACGAATATTACGACTGCCCAAGTCTAACGAGCTCTGGCTCCTTGGGATGCCACGGCGCATTCCATAGAACGGGGAGCGTTGAGGCACGCTGCTCAAATCGTGGACGCATAATTTTAACCCACACGTGATCTTGCAGTTGGCGATGCACGTCGACCCGTTCGACCTTCCCCAGAACACTGTTCGATATTTGGGGAGGTACACCACACTGCTGACCCAGGTGTCGTTGCTAGTCGCATTGATTTGAAGGGAGAAACTGCGGAAGGGCAGGAACTCTGGATGAGAGCGGAGGAGCGTTTTTCCATGATTTTATCACAATCATGCCGCTGCAATAACGAGACGCGCGACAAGGACGCGTCTGGCCACTCCACAAGATGAACACGCTGTCCCGCTACAGCAGGTCAACGTGCCCGTATTGAACCTAGAGTGGATTAAAAGTCGGTTGAACCGGCGACCTTGGAGAGGCTCATGCAAGTATGTGGGCACGTCGGGCGTTCCCCTTTACCTTTATCCTCCTCCGGTAACGCGCGAAGGCTCACGGAGGATTCCAACCGCTGACACGCGATTATTGAGGGAAGCGGGAATTATCGAGGACGCTTCGTCCACAATAACAAGCGGCGGATGGATAATACCTTTCTTAGTTGTGGAGGAGAAAACCACCGGTTTACGACGACGACGGATCGCGTGGCCACGCGGCAAGAACAGAGACGACCCTTACGAGGCGAATGTTCCTCTTTTACACATTTCCCATTATTTGCCGCCTGTGATGGCTGAGGCCGCTTCCTGCATGGACTTAAAGGCATCCTTTTTTCAAGTCTCTTTACCGTGGGAGACTCGGCATCTCTTTCGATGCCGCGTGGAGGACGGCACGCTGGTGGAGCTGACACGGCTCCCCATGGGATGCAAGGCCGGCCCAGAAATTCTCCAGATTATTACTTCAGCAATTGCGGGGGTGACGACGGTGTCTCACCGCCTCTGGGCTGCACCTCCATTGGTGCGTATCGGCGTATGGATCGGTAATATACTCATTGCAGGGTCGAAAGGCGACGTGACATTGTGGGAAGCCCAAGTGCTTCGTAATGCGGACAGTTGTCACGCCACGATAGGGAGGAACGCGAATCGGGCGCCACGCAGTACACCTTCCTGGGGGCGCAGTTTGTTCACACTCACCGGGCGGTATCTCTGAGTGACGAGTTTGTCCGGTCTGTGCGCGCCATGCCGGCGCTTAATTCTTCAACCGTCGCGGGAATGGTGGTTGTGGCGTCACGTTTTTTGTATGCGGCGGCCATTTTGTGCACGCGTTTATGCGACTACTACTTTTTTATCAAGGCAGTGCGACGACGATTGTCCGCACTTAACCGCGGATTGTGCTGGAGACATCCCCGGCGAACCTTCCGCCGTCAGCGGTTGGTTTGGGCGAGAGATTACGACACATCATCGAGAACAATCGTAAGCGAATCATCAAGCCCACGGAAAAGGCATCGGCCGCCATCATCACGGACGCGTTGCTCCTTGGATAAGGGGCCGTTTTTATTCTCCAGACTCCGGCGACGTTAAAATTGACGGAGGGAAATGGAAGAGAAAGCGTTTCCTTATTATGCAGGCCGAGGCGTGTGCGGCGCGCTTAGCCTTATCGGCCTTTTCCGCCATCTTGCCATCCACCATGGACGTTTGGGTGGACAACACTTCGCTGCAAGGAGCGGCGAATAAAGGCAGCCCCAAATCACACGCGTTGATGTGGGAGCTGCGACGGATATATGAGTTTGTTGACTCTCGCGGAATACAGGCATCCTCTGCTTACGTGCGGTCTGCAGAAAACCCCGCAGACGGCATATCACGCGGTCGTGTTTTTACGCTTCAGGACTTGGCGAAGGGGTGGAACTTGCGAAGGGCAGCGGCGGAGTCTTGTGGCTGGAGGGTCACAAAGTCTGCCGTTTCGTAAGTAATAAATGTTTTATATCCTACATGAGTTCAAAAGGCCACGTAATCTGGCCACGATTGTCGCAAACAGATGGTGTATATATACTTGATTGGTGTTAAACATCGAGGGTATGGTGAACTCCCATTCTTGTTCCATTCACCCCTTTTATATTTTTACTTGGTTTGGTTTTCATTATTAAAAATATCTGGATTTGGCCAGCGGCGCAGGTGAATCTATATATATATATTAAGGTAATTAAAAGTTTTGGTTTGCAGTTTGTTGTGGGAGTTCTGCAATTGTACTTATTCCAACCGACTGATTTGTGTGTGCAGCTGCTGCTTGTGCGTGGTTCTGTGACTTGTATTTTTTTTGCTTTTGCTCTGCGTGGACGGAAAGTTATTTTATGGTGAAGGCTACACGCAAATGACAGGATTAATGGCGATGATGATGACTGGCCGTGTGCTGCTGGTGTGTGCCCTCTGCGTGCTGTGGTGTGGTGCGGTGCCAGCAGAGGTTGTATACGCGATGGCGGACCGCTGCAGTGAAGGTAACGGGAATTTATTGACGCACATGAATAATGCTGAAAGTGACGGGGTATTTCCGAGAACGGACTGCAGTTTGTTATCCACTCAGATGGGATTAATAGGGGCGGTTGAAGCTTGGGGAAAATGAGGGAGCAGAATTGGGTGGTGCAGTCACATCGGAAAAGCCCAAGCAATTATTGTCTGGTACCACGTCAAAAGGTAATAATGAGGTTTTAACGCGTGGTACACCAGCACCGCTGCCAACACATAAAGCATCGGATCAAGTTGAACAGAAGAAACTGTTAAAAACGGTTGATCCAAATGGAATTGGCGATACCAGGAATCCCTCAGGTGGTAAGGCAACAGACTCCCAACGCCAAAGCGTTGGTCAATCTTCATCTGGCAGTACTGTCACTCAACCTGGCAAAGATCACAATTTGAATAATCCTTCCAAGAGTAATGCATCCTCCACTGCCACGCCTACGGATGACAGTGGCGTTAATATTTTTCCCAACACTCCCGAACTGGGGGTGGGAGCACTTGAAAAAGTTGACGAAGATGAGGATAAAAGAAAAAACCAAAACAGGCAGTACAAGAAGAAGCGGAAGAACACAAAGGAAAAAAAAATGATAATTCACCAACAGGGACACTTGAAAATGCAGTGAAACTGAAAACATACCACACGCAACATCACCATCACTAATAAAAGCACCAGCAGAAGTGGCACTGAAAACAATTGGAAAAACAGAGGGAGATTCAACACAAGCACGAGTGAATGGACAGTAGAGCTCTGAAGATACCGTGCCCGTGTAACAGCTACAACAACCCCAAAGCGACATGAAGTCAAAAAACAATTCACAAACTGAGGGTGTTTGCCCCCTTCACAGCCAATTCGCAGAATGAACCATCTAACGGCCATGCAGAAACACAGCCACCATCACCCACGGAAAACGGTAATTTCGCCAATAATAAAGCTGACAAGAGCACTGAAGAGGGCATCCCGAACAATGATCCAGCAGCTGATGGTGCAGGGACACGAGAAGAAAACAAAATGAAAATAAAGAAGCCAATCCGAAGGAAACAGTGCTGGCCACAAACGCCACAACGGGTGACACGGCGACGGCTGGCGACAGTGACGGCAGCACCGCTGTCTCCCACACCACCTCCCCTCTTTTTCTTCTTCTTCTTGTTGCGTGTGCGGCTGCTGCTGCGGTGGTGGCCGCGTGAGAGTGAGTGTGAGAGAGCCATGCACCGCCCGCACACACACTCGTCCTTCTCTCTCTGTGTGTGTGTCCCCTTGCATGGACTCTCGCCCTCACCTCACCCCACGAGGCACACACAATAATGTGCCCATTGCATATATGCATGCACACCCATGCAGGCCCGTTGGTGCTCTCTTTTGCACGACACGCACCGCTGCCGTCCTGTCTGGCTGCATGGGCGGAGCACCGTAACTGTTTCTGTTTTGTTTTTATTGCATTGAGTGGGCGACCTCTCTCTCTCCCTCTGTGTGTGTGTTTTGCTTTACGGGAGCAATGAGAGTGTGTGTGCGCTGGTCGTCCCACGCTTCGGCTTTTTTTTTGTTTTCCTTTTTGATTTTGTGGTTGAGTGCACCCATTCCGCGGCTGCGTGTGTGTGTGTGTGCGATGATATGAGTAATTTGCGTGTGTGCTATCTGCCTCTCTCTGCCGTTGCTTTCTTCAGACTCTCTTGTGGCGCACAGCTGCTCTGCAATTATAGGCGCTGCCAAACACACAAGCACATGCACACACACATGCCGTGTTTAAAACGCTGAGAATGCACGCACGCACAGGATTGTGGCTGCGGAGGCCCTCCTGAGGAGGGAGGGCGGGAGACCGCGATGTGTTTTTTCGACGTGTTGCGGGAGTGAATGTGGCGGCATGCAGGCAGGTGGGTATTGGGTATTGAGGGTGCCTGGGAGAGTGCGGATTGGTTCCCGTCCAGCAGCCTCATGTGCCGAAGTTTCTACCATGCTGTGGATCCGTTGATGGGGTTTATCCGGCTGTGCGACGTGGTGTGCGCCGGCTGCGGAGCGGGTGCTTTGGAGGAGACAACGGTAAAACGACTGGTGGAAGCGCGTGGGTGCTGCGAAGGGAGGTTTTGTTCTTTTACACCCCGCTGGTTGTTTTGTGTGGGCGTTGCTCGGTGTGAGCTGACGCGTGAAGAACGGCTCACCCGCCGTGGCTCCTGTTGTTGGTAACAGTCGCCGTGTGTTCCCGGTGCGCTGTTCTTTCTTCTCGTTCCGTGTGTCTGTGTGCGTGAGTTGTTGTTGTTTGGAGTGACTGCGGCGGGGATGATGGTGCCACTCACCGTGGATGGGTAACGGTGTTCACTGTTGTAATTTTGTTGGCATGATTTTTTCATTTTTAGCTTTTTAAATAAGATAGGGAAAACAAGCGCTAATCGCTACTGTGAAATTCAAAGGCTCTAAAAATTTTAACAACAGCACACACACCGCCTACACACACATATTTGTATGCTCTCAAGTGTTGCTGCAGTGAAGGTACCCCGCACACACAACCTTCGCCGCATGACCGGATCCAGCGGAAGGAGGAGGGAAGGAAGAGAGAGTGAGCCGCAGAGGCCCAACATGTCCCGGCGTGTGTCTACTTCCGCGGTGCTGCTCCTCCTCGTCGTTATGATGTGCTGCAGCGGTGGGGCTTCGAACGCCGTGACGAGTAATTCGGGGAATGCGCAATTGCCGCAGGGAGTCGATCTATTTGTGCCGCAGACGACGCAGGTGCTGGCGAAAGGTGGAACGTCTCAAGAGACTGAGAGGGATTCATTTGTTTCACCCTCTCTCGCCAGTGCTGGTGGAGTAATTGCTGCTTTTGCCGAAGGTCGCGTGTATCGCGAATATCAAGTCGGTAGACAAAAAGAGAAAAATTCTTCTGATATTGTGGTGGGGTACATCGACTCTTCGTGGGGTTGGTCTACTCTTGTTGGCAAGGTGAATGAAAGTACATGGCGAGCACACACTGTGCTTGGTACAACGGATGGAGTGGATAATCGTGTGGACGATGTGTTCAACCCCACAACCACCACGAAGGGCAATAAGGTGTTTCTTCTTGCGGGAAGCTTTTATGAGCACAAACAAACTGTTGGAAATCGGACATATAGCGGATTCAAAACACAACTTGAACTGGTTGTGGGTGATGTGAGGGAGCCTACGAGCAGCAAGCAGAGTGAACGTATCAAATGGGGCTCACTCAGGTCTCCGTTGAACGGGAGTACTATAGCTGCTCACAAAGGTAACTTGACAAGGTTTCTTGCCGCTGGTGGCGCAGGTGTTGTGATGGAGGATGGCACGCTTGTGTTTCCTGTGATGGCGAAGAGCGGAAATGATGGCTATTGCTCCATGATTATTTACTCGAAGGACAACGGCAGTACCTGGTCGCTCTCTGAGGGCATTTCCCCTGCGAACTGCACTGACCCCCGCGTCACCGAATGGGATGGATCACTTCTCATGATTGTTAATTGCAAGAGCAGCCAGAGGGTGTACGAGTCGCGTGACATGGGGACAACGTGGACGAGGGCCATCGGGACACTCTCGGGCGTGTGGGTCAACTCACGATTATACTTTTGGGATCTGAGCTTGCGTGTGGAAGCCCTTATCACCGCGACCATTGAGGGCAGGAAGGTCATGCTCTACACACAGAGAGGGAGCTTCTCGGGGGAGAAAAGGGAAAGAGCGCTCTATCTTTGGGTCACGGACAACAACCGTTCGTTTTATTTTGGACCACTTGGCATGAGCAGTGCTGTGGAGGAGGAGTTCGCCAGCAGCCTGATGTACTCGGATGGCAAGTTGCATCTGTTACAACGGAGGGACAATGGTGAAGACAGTGCCTTGTCGCTTTCTCGCCTGACGAAGGAAGTGAGTACGATCAATTCTGTCCTGAAGACCTGGGCGCAAAAGGACGCCTTCTTCTCCGGGTTGTCTATACCCACGGCGGGTCTGGTGGCAGCTTTGTCCGATGCGGCCAGCGGTGACAAGTGGTACGACGAGTATCTTTGCCTGAATGCGACGGTGACGCCTAATGCAAAGAAGGTCAAAGATGGATTTCAGTTGACGGGGCATAGCTCCAGGGTATCATGGTCCGTGAACATTCCGGATGATAATGTGCGTCATATATCTTTGAGCCAATACTTCACACTTGTGGCGTCGGTGACCATCGAAGAGGCTCCGAGTGGGAACACACCTCTACTGACTGCGACGTTGGCGAACAATAATTCCAATCATACCATGGGAGTGTCGTATACCGCGGATAACAAGTGGGGGAAGATGTTCGAAGGCAAGATAACAACGGAAAGCAGGCCTTTGGAACCGAAGAAAGAATACCAAGTGGCACTCATACTGCAAGGCAACAAGGCCTCTGTGTACATTGATGGTGAGTCGCTGGGGGAGGAAGAAGTGCCGTTAAAAAGTGAGACACGACTTGGGCTTGTACACTTTTGCTTTGGCGCGTGCGATCAGGAGGGACACGAACAAGAACCCCATGTGACGGTGAAGAACGTCTTTCTGTACAACCGCCCACTGAATTCCACTGAGATGCGTGCAATCAAGGACAGGATCCCCGTTCCGACGAGAGGTCCGGAAACCCAACTGGAGGATGGAACGGAAAGGAGGCATATCCCTCGGATTGAGGGTGTGCGAGCCAATGCGCCTGCTGGGAGCGGACTGCTGCCGCTGCTTCTTCTGCTGGGATTGTGGGGCTTTGCGGCTGCGTGAGGAGCGTGCGGTCTCAGTGTGGAACACTTGCCCTCGTCTCTGCAGGACACACACACACACCGCTAGGAATAAATTTACTACGCAGAGAATAATTTCTTTTTTTTTCAATGTTTTCCATTTTCCCTTGCTCCTTTAGGACAACCACCATGGACTTTTTTTTTCGGCTTTTAATTTTTTTTTTTCTGTTTGGAGTATAATTTCCCACGTTTTTTTACGTTTGTTTTTAATCATTTTTGTTTGCTTTGTTCAACAAAATTTTGTTTCTGTTTTTTCTTTTTTGCTCCACTCTTCCCTTCTTTTGCTTGTTGCCTTTGGGGGCAATCACGATGGGCGTTTTTTCATTTCTACTCTTCCCTCTTTTTAATTGCTTCCTGCTGCACTCTTCCTGTGAGGGGTGCCGTGTGTTTCCCGCCCAACTGCTCCACTCGCACACCCACCGACACGCTCATGACGACGGCCCTGTGCGCCTCGCCTGCTGCACGCATGAGGAGGGGCCGCGACGAACGGCGCGCTGAGGGAGCCGTGACGTGTGGGCGTGCGACGAGGGCCTGTGGGGCGGAGCACACATTTCTTTCCCTCTTGTTTTTTTTTGCGGCCAGGGCTGGCAGACACCCGCAGCGCCACACCCTGCCGCCGTGTTTTTAAGATTTTTTGCTTTTCGTGTGCGCTTTAAGCGCCGGCATTTCTTTCGAGGTCGGCCTCGTGAGCATTTCTCTCCCCTCTGATGATTTTTTTTTGCTGCGCTCACTCTCCCGATGGAGTGACGCGACTCCCGTCATGTCTGCGTGCTTCTCTCAGTCCACGCACAAGAAGAGTGACTGTGCTCTGCGGGCCGCACTCACGCGCCGATGAGAGGGCTGAGGGGAGCAGCAACACGCAGATGACCCCATGAAATATAAACGATGTGCGGACACACATGGAGGGTCGGACGGTTGAAAGACACGTAATTATTTAATTTTCTTTTTGGGCAAAATAAAAAAACAGTTTGGCGTGGCCACACGGTAATCAGCTGCATTTTGTGTGTGTGTGGTTTTTCTTTTTCTTTTTCTTTTTTTTTTGGGTGGAACAGTAATAAAGGACGACTTTTTTTTTCTTTTTATATAATTATTGTGTGCGAGGGAGGCTAATATATGATGAAAGGGAATTGTTATTTGTAATTATTTTAAATAAATCTTCTATGAATTGCCGCTGCTTTGTCCGCAGTGCTGTATCATGAGCTTGAGCAGTCTTTTTTTCTTTATTTCTGCCATGCACCTCTGCTGTACATTTTTGTGTGCGTCCCTTGACATACTCTGCTCCTCTCATCTTTGTTTACTTCTTTGACTCGTGCTTCTGCAGGCACACACAACCACATGCACGCACAAGATGCAGTGGATTTGGATGCTTCTTCTGTAGCGTGTGCTGGCGGTTGCTGGCGGCTCCCGCCTCCTTCTGTGGGCATGAAGGGAAGTAGGAGAGAGGGAGCGCGCACCGCGAGTCACTTTTCATGCAGGTGTGATGTACCACATATGACCGCTTTAGTCGGGCACCAAATCCCATTGGGGACGGAATGGCTGGAAATGTTGTTGCCGCGTCATGGATGGATGAGGAATCGCTTCCGCGTGTGGCTCTTTGGGTGATTACTGGCACCGTGTGCGTTGTGTTTGTTGTGTGGAGGGCCGAATCCTCTCACCCTGGGACTGGCAGCACTGCGATGGTGTGTGTGTGTGTGATGGCTGGTGTGGAGTTGCCGGCCAGGGCGAGGGCCTTGGCGGTACTTTTCCCGCCTGTCTTCTGTTTCTTTTGTGTGTTTGTGCTGCCTTTTGCTTTTTTCCCTTGTCATCCTTTTTTCCTGTGTTCCTGCGTGGAGTAGCCGCATGCTCACGGGCCATGTTGATTGCGAGTGCCTCTTGACGGCATCCATTCATCTCCCTCCGCCTGTCTGTCTGTCATTCCCTTTTGGGTGCGGTGTGTTACACCGCGTGAGGGCTGGCCCGCGCACACCGACGGCCCTCCGTGACGCCCGCGATGGCCGGTGCGGAGTGGCAGTGCTCGCTGTCTCACCTCTTTACTTGGCTTGTTTTTCCCTTTCCCTCAACCTCTTGAACACAGACACGTTAGGAAAGCAAGCAAACAAGCGCTAATCGCCAGTGTGAAATTTGAAGGCTCTGAAAGGACCAACAGCACACACATCGCCCACACACACCTACTTAAATGTTCTCACGTGTTGCTGCTGTGAAGGCACCCCGCACACACAACCGTCGCCGCGTGACCGGATCCAGCGGAAGGAGGAGGGAAGGAAGAGAAAGTGAGCCGCAGAGACCCAACATGTTCCGGCATGTGTCTACTTTCGCGGTGCTGCTCCTCGTTGTGATGATGTGGTGCTGCACCTGTGGAGCTGCGGCCGCTGATGGAAGTAGTGGGGCAGGGGACGCACAGCTGCCGCAAGAGGTTGATCTTTTTCTGCCGCAGAAGACGCAGGTGGTAATAAAAAGTGGTGGTGCAACTGAAATGAAGGATTCATTTGGCTCACCCTCTTTTGCCCTTGCTGGTGAAGTGATGGTTGCCTTTGCGGAAGGTCATAAGGACTATAATGGTCCCCAGCATACATCCGATCTATATACTTCTGAAATTGTTGCAGGGTACATCAACGCGACGGAGCCGTGGTCGTCCATTGTCGCTGATATCAGTTCCGACGACTGGAGGGCATATACCGTTTTTACCAAAGAAAGTTCAAAGGATCGTTTCGGCGTTGCGCTTCTACCCACGGCAGTTTCGACGGGCAGTGATGTGTTTCTACTTGTGGGAAGTTACTATCTTATTCGTGATGCTACTGGGAGGCGTTGGATTGACGATGGCTGGGATATTCATTTGCTCGTGGATAAGGCCACGCAGTCCACGGACGCCAAGCAGGGTGAACTGATCGAGTGGGGCGCACCCACGTCGCTTTTGGCTTCGATCACTTAAAGTACTCGGCAAAGGGACTTAATGAGATTTGTGGGTGGTGGCGGCTCAGGCATTGTGACGGAAGAAGGCTGGCTTGTGTTTCCAATGATGGCGACGAGGAAAAATGATCGTGGCATTGAATCCATGCTTTTTTACTCGAAGGACAAGGGCGTTAACTGGGATGTCTCAAGGGGCATTCCTGCTGCGGACTGCGTTGACCCCCGCATCACCGAATGGGAGAATAGAGAACTTCTCATGCTTGCCTATTGTGTTGATGGCCAGAAAGTGTTCCGGTCGCGTGACATGGGAGATGCGTGGACCAAAGCTTCTGATTTACTCCCACGCGTGTGGATTACCACACAAGCAATTCCTCGGGGCGAGGGTTGGCGTGTGGGAGCCCTCATCACCGTGGAATTATACGGAAGGAAGGTCTTGCTGTATACTCAGAAAGTGGGCTATTCCCCGGGGGAGAGAAATGACAAGGCGCTTTACCTTTGGGTCGCGGATAGCAACCACACGGTCTATTTTGGACCGCTCTCTGTGGAGACTGGTGCGAAGCGAGCGTTTGCCAACACCCTGCTGTACTCCGGTGATGCGTTGTACCTTTTGCAGGGGATGGGTAATGGGAAGATGGATGGCGTTTTTCTTTTTCGAATTATTGAGGAGCTGAGAAAAATCAAGTCCATTGTGAGGAATTGGATGGAAGTGGACGCCTTTTTCTCCGGGTTGTCTACACCCACGAATGGTCTTGTGGGGGTTTTGTCCGATTCATCCGATGCCGACAAGTGGAACGACATGTACCGCTGCGTGGATGCAACCGTATTGGGCGCAATAAGGATTGAGGATGGCTTTAAGTTCACAGGGCATGGGGCCGGGGGAATATGGCCCGTGAACAGCCGGGGAGATAATAAACAGCACACCTTTGTGGATTTCACCTTCACCCTTGTGGCGACGGTGGTCATCGAAAAGATGCCTCCGGGCGGCAGCAGCGTTCCTCTGCTGGGTGCGATGCTGGAGGATGGAATGGGCACGAACTTCCTTGGGCTGGCTTGCGCTGAGAACAGGATGTGGGAAAAGTGTTTGATGGGCAAACGGGGCAGGGCGACTTTTGGGTGCCGAAAAAAGAATACCAGGTGGCACTCATGCTAAATGGGAACGAGGGCTGTTTTTACTTGGACGCAGAGCTTCTGGGGACCTCGGATACGATGCGAAGACGTGAAGAACGGGCATAAGATGTTTTGGGCTTTTATTTTGGGGGAGACGAAAGTGGCCGGGACAGCAGCGCATCAGTGAAGAACGTCTTTTTGTACAACCGCATGTTGACTCCCGGTGAACTGAAAATGGTAAAGAAGACTGGCTCTCCCAAGCATGAGAGTTCGTCGTCGGAAGCGAGCGGATCTGACTCCTCTGCGCACGAGTGTGTTTATTTTGTGCCTCTGGTGTCGCTGGGGCTATGGGCCCTTGCGGTTTTTTATGGAGTGTAGCAGAGTATTTTTATTGCGTTCTGTGGGATTGCATGCATTTTGACACGAATGTTCTGGAAGTCTGTGAAGAGAATTTTTGCGAACGGGCTGGCTAATTTAATGTATTCTGACAAGAAGACGAATACTTTTTTTTAACGATTTTTTTTTTTGAATTCCTTTTGAAAACTGCTATTGAACGGATCAATGAACCGATAACGGCAAGACGAATTTGTTTTTATTTGTGTTTTTACCTTTGCAATTTAACTCGCCTTCTTTGATCTTTACTGCGTGGCGGGGACTTCGGGCCGGAAGAAAACGAATAATTCCATGTCTTAATTGATGAAAATATCTCCAAATTGGATGCGTGGCAACGTGTCATGATCGTGGTTATCAAAATATATCTCTTTATTTATGGACCAAAAATTGAGGGGCTTCTGAACTTACTGCCTCTCTATTACCTTTGTCTTTTTCGGGAGCTTGTGAAGAGAATGTTCACTTGGCATGCTGGCTATCTAATTTAACATACATGTATCTTAATAAAGCGAACCCCGTATGTTCTTTTTCTTTTAATGATTATTTGGTTGACCGCGATGCACGGAATCAAGGAACCGA